TCAAGTGCACAAAGCATTTTCCCCCACCCCGTGCCTCAGAGTGCCATGCACTTGACCTCTAGGTGAGGTGAGAGATGGGAATGGAGTGGGGGACAGAGCCCAGAGGCAAGAAGACTGTATGCAGGAGGGTGACAGGAAGGGAAAGAAGATATGTCCAGATACGTTCTTGCTACAATACGTAACCATTTTTGGGGGGAGGGGGGTAATCAGTTCTAGGTTAGGAGGTAAAATGTGCTTAAAACCAAACATTCTCTATCTGAATAAACCCTTTGAATGGCCAAATTTATTAGTGTCCTCTGTTGGAAAAATTTCATCTGAAATCTCTTTCTAAAAATAATTGCAGGGAATCAAGTGCCCAAAAAGAGGAAAAGAAGAAAACCTAAAAGTCCTCACCAAAACAAAGCCATCTCATTGTCAATTCATAATTTAACATGATATCAATCCCCCCCGCCAACCTTGGCCTGTATACATGCACCAGGGCCAAGATAACTAATAGACAAGGCTCCACTTTTGGTCAAAGTGCCTACTATGCACCAACCAGTCTTCTGTTCACTCTGCAAATGTCATCCTATGAAGTCATCACAAAATCCAGTGAGGCAGCTATAATCATCCTCACTTTACAGACGAGAAGCTGGGGATCTTTAAAGGTAGACAACTTGCTCAGACTGGCACAGCTAGTAAAAGGCAGAAGTGGGATTCAAACTGAGGACTTCAGACTCTGAAGCTCATACTCTTCTCTAAATCAAGCTTCCTCCTGAGTTAAATTCTCCCTTCCCCCATCATGGTTGCCACAAGACTCTACCACCTCTTCATCATCATCAATAAATATTTATCAAGGACCACCGCCTCCACGGCATTGCTCTCGTTGCCACAGCAACACACTGTCTGAGAGTCACGGGGAGTATCCCGTGCTTGAAAGAACGAAGCTATAATGTCCTCTGATCATGGCTCTGAAAGGTGACAGTTACAGTACTACAGGGACACTGTCTCAGCTGGCAGCCTGGAGTCTGCAGGAGCTGTGCCGAGGACAGGCAAAAAGAAATTAAGTCTAGGAGAATGATAGTGGGTCATAATCCAAGAAGATGGTCTGTTTTAAGTATGTGTTTGCGATTGTTGCTGAAACAGAATCCAAGCCAGGTTTGCACATTAATTGTTCTTTTATTAGAAAACAAATCAAGCAATCCAGGACAGAAAGTAAAATTCGACTGTACTGCTAACAGTTCCCCAGAGGTATCTGGCAGTGATTATCGAGTTAAATGACTATATTGCTAACAGCTGCAATCTCATGTCAGTCTCCTACAAGATCCATTTTTGCTCTCAGTGTACAGATTCTGAAACCCACTAGCAAATGGACTAATTATCCCCTTGTTTTGCCACACTGTTAACAGGCCGTTTAAAAATTTTTTTTAATGTCATTCCTTACAAAAATTGTCATGGCTCATGAAACACATCTTAGAGTTAAGGAAGAAGGAAATTGCCTCTTGAGGACAAGCTTCTGCGCCTGACTTATGGACACTGTGACCAACATGTAACAGCAAAATATATTACCGCAACTATGTACTGGATGTTAGCTCACAAATTGAAACTGCTTTCAAGAGTGGGAGTTTTCACATGAAAAGAATATGGAGAACACGCCACTGAGTTTTAGGATGTATTTATCCAAACTTGCCAAAAGTTTTAAATATGATACTCTAAGGAAATCAAGCTATTGCTATACTAGATTTGGACTCCAACAATTTCTGCATTTAGAAATAAAATAAGAAGATAGTCCATTTTAAAAAGTCAACGTTTGCAGAATTCCTGCTCCTACAAATACAAATAAAAGAACCTGGGGGGAGGAATCTAATTAAATGGCCTAGTTAACATTAAGCCAGAAAGGTGGGATAGATGTATACAAAAAATCCCCATTTCTACAAATGAGTGAGGCTTAGAATGCACCAAATCTCCAACACAAGTTAATCTCACTCGTTTAAGGAGCCCCTGGAACAAACTCAGCCATTTGCTAAATTTATGCCACAGTAGATTTGCAGAAGCACCCAATTCAGGTAGAACCAAAAGAAACATTGCTGCCTTAACAGTAGATTTCTTCCCAGACTGTACTCCAGGATTGCTTTTCTTTCCCATGTGTTCCGAAGAGCAAACAAAGAAAAGGTGCTTGCTCCTCACACTTCTCTAAATGTTTTAACAAAAGGCTGGTGAATAAACACATTACTCATTTAAAAATTGAAAAGAAGTTCTATTCCTGAGATGAAAGCAACAAGATTTGCATTTTAACAGTTGTGGGCGAGCGCCACCTGGCGGGAGCATCCGGCACGGGCGATCGTTCCGCCCTGGATAGGGGCCTGAGCCGGTACGGGTTTTACCGCTCGCTGCCCAAGAACTGTTTGAGACCCGTGCTGGAATTATTTTTTTATCCTGTTTTTGCAGCGGGAACGTGAATACTATTAATGTGTGGTCGGCCTGCCAGGCCTTGGAGGATATAAAATCTGAAGTCACGCATCATGCTGGGTCCCCAGGACTGCCCGAAGAATTCTCCTCCCCTCACCTCCCTAGCACACCTAATTCAGACCCCAAAATGAGGAAAACGAGAATTATGCACCATCTTTAGAATGGTGTCGTGGCTGCCCCTCTTCTCCCACTTGTTAATCCAACCTTTCAGCCTCACGCATCTCAAAAGTAGTGTCTTGGTCGCTCAACTTCCCAGCCACAGAAACAGACTGTTCTTTCACACAAGTCCCATATTCCGTTTCCATTTCAGAATGGAGCAAAGGAGACGCTGAGGCATTTCCAACGGAACGTCATTCCGGCGGTTCCTAACCTCAAGCAGGCTGTGTAAAGACATTACACTCCCCACAGGCTCCTTCTTTTTCTCTTTCTTTCCTTCTTTTGGCGAAATAATACGAGTGCACAGCTGTTGCTTAGCAATCCAAAACAGGCCTTTTCCTAAGTCCCACTTGCTTCTCTCAGCCCGTGCCTGTCGGCTCAGCGTGGTCACGCCAAAGCCAGTGGGTGCAAAGAAACTTCAAGGTGATATTGAACTTGGAAGTATACCTGCATCCTTTCCTGCCTTCTCTGCTTCCCTCTACAGCCTACTTTTGGGGGGCTCAGGGCTGGAAGCTGCCTGCAGTGGGGTTTGGCAATGTGTCAGGTCCCGAACTGTAGTGGTCTCCTGCACACACCAACTTACCAGGAGGAGCACACAGGGGCAGACCCCCACACTGGGGAGCTTCCTCTGCTCACCTCATTCCTACGGTCAAACCCAAATATGAATCCCCCGAACTTTTCAGAAGCAGACAAGCTCACAGGTCAAAGCCACACCACTTGGAGGGCCTTTATAGGGGCGCCCACTACTCCCGATAAAAACCGCGGGATTGGGCTGTCTCCGTCATTGACACAAACATCCCTGCGGGTACCTCCCGCGGTTTGCCTTAGGACTAGTTTAGGGGCTCAGCGTGTTTAGAGCAAGTCTGGAGCTTCATCTCCGAAGAGAAAAGAAAAGCCACCGCCCTGGCAGCCTAGGCCTGCTGGGGACCTGTCCCCCCCACTTAAAGCGCGTGCCGCCCAAGGAGCTGCCGGGGAGCAAACGCTCCACCCCGGGCGTCGATGCCGCTCCTCATCTCGCCGCCCCAAACACTCAAGTGACAGACAGATTCCGACAAGTGGGAGGCAGCGAGTGGAAATATTCGCAACAACCGCGAAAGTTACTCCAGCCCGGGGGGCGGCAGGAAAGTAAAGCGGACAACTTCGCCAAACGCGGGCTGCTGAGGGACGCGAGGGGCCGGGCGCGCTGGCCGGGGCGCGCCTGGACACGGTTTCCCGGGGCTGGAGGTTGGGACCCGCGCTCCGGCCACCGGGACCCGCGCCCCCCGCGAGCCCGCACAACTTTCTCCTCCGAGGGCCCCGCGGCGTGGACCCGGGCGCACCGGGAAGGGAACAGGGAACCCGGGGGAGCCGGGCGGGCGCACTCACCTGCGGCGCTCTGCGCCCGG